GAATTCATACCTCTTTCATTCATCTCTGTTCTTCGTCTTCCTTTGTTTTTCCTCCCAAAATCTCCAAATCTTACATGGTGTATCGAACCCATGGCATTGGCAGAAGATACCGACGTCGAGACACAACCAAACACTAATCCATTTACCAACCTTGCAAATCTGTCGAATCCATATCGATTGGAGGCCTCGGACAACCCCGGAACAGCTCTCGGCACCGAACTACTCACCACTGAAAACTATGAAACCTGGGCACGACCCATTCATCGATGGTACTCTGGAGAAACCCATCAGTCTCGATCTTTTGAAGCTATGGGAACGATGCGATGTCATGATTGTGTCCTGGCTTTTCAACTCCATAAGCAAACAACTCAGATCTAGTGTGGCTTTTATGGAGAATGCGAATGAAATCTGGACGGAGTTACGGGAGCGATTTTCCCAGCAAAATGGTCCCCGGATTTATGAACTGAAGAAGGCATTATCGAATATGACTCAAGAAGACGACACTGTGAGTATTTACAATAGTAGACTTAAAAGTTTATGGGATGAGCTCTCGGTGTATGACCCTCTACCTGAATGTACCTGTGGTAAATTGAACTTGCTTTTAGATAGGTATCATCGGGATTGTGCGATACAATTCTTGATGGGATTGAACGAATCTTATTCTAATGTTCGTGACCAGATCATGCTAATGTAGCCTTCACCATCTGTAAATAAGGTCTTCTCCTGCATTCTGCAACAGGAGAGACAACGCTCAATTTCTTCACCCACATCTTCTGTAGAATCTATTACTGTAGCTGCAAGAAAATTTTCTGCTCCTTCAAAGTCTACTATCCATTCATCTGGCTCTAAGAAGGAAAAGTCATATTGTACCTACTGCAAAATTGGAGGTCGCGATTTGGAATCTTGTTTTAAGGCAGGCAATGCTGAGGCACCTATCTGTAAGCACTGTCATATGGTGGGTCATATTGCAGAAAAAATGTTACAAAATTAATGGCTATCCCCCAGGCCATAAGCTGCATGGTAAAGGGAAATCAATTGGAGCCAATGCCAATCAAGCTTCGGTCCAACATGATGATGACAACGATGTTGCAGATGCACTAAGCAAGGGTCAATGCAATGAGTTGGTTATAATGCCCAAAGCCAACGGGTCCTCTATTGCTACGCCAGCTGCTACCGTCACACCTAATCCTTCACCATCCGTGTCTGGTATATCACTACAGAGCGACTCAGACACAAGAAACTTTCAAGAAGATGCTCTTGCTGATGAGTAATTCTGTTGTAATTTTAGTTAGAGTTCATACCTGCATAGAATAGTCTTTGTAACAGAATTTGTTAGCATTGTTGTTTATAGTTTTAGATTGAAGGAGTGAATCTTTGCCAGCACTTTGATTCAATTGGAATTGCAGAGAGGGAAAAAAGGATTATATCTTTTCCTAATTGAAACTGAGAGAGGGACTCTATAATGAATAAAAGAGTTCTGATTTGAATGATTTTTTCTTTGGAAAATAATATGCCATTATGAGTATTCTTTGATTCCTCTTAGTCATGTTACCATCATATGTGACAGAGAAAAGCTTAAAATATGAAGGTTGCAAGCTCGTGTGGGTCAGTGGATATGCAAAAATCCAGGTCAAGAGATCATGCAATAGTTTTTGCACTTTTTTCCAAATCATTTTTGGCTTTCATAGTACTTTCGCTTGATAATGTATCTCTGAATGTGAGTAAACCATTTTTTATGAGATGCAACAGATCATTGAATGATCTTCTTTGTACATCCGCTTCGCACAGATTTCAAAAGTTAAATTCCACTGCTTTGGTCATAATTGAATTTATACCGTTTTGAATCTGTAAACTTCAAGTATTTTTAAGTATGCTTGTATTCTCTGAAGGCTAAAAGCATAGCTTCTGTACATGAAAACTAGACTTCAACATTTATTATTGAGACATCCAAAAGTTTCTGTAAGAATTGCCTCCCGCAATTTGTAAAGCGACAAGGATAAATCACTGTGGTTGCATAATCTCATCAGTTCATCTTTCTCATCTGCATTTGAAATGTTCGAAGTTGAATTATGTGAAAAATCCTTGGATGTTGAATGGAAAATTTGGATCTAGTTCTACAGGCTCAATCGGAAACTCCATCCCTCCAATTGGAGAATTGGATGTCGAAGCATGACCTGAAACTATTTCAGCAATATCAGATTCCGAATGTTGTAAATTATGAGCTCCCCTAAATCTCTTCATCTGGTAGGTTGCTGATGGTGAGAAGTAATTTGATTCAGACAGGGCTGGAGATATAAGCAATTGAGAATTGGCACCAAAGTGACTGTCATCAGCAAGCACGGAGGTTGGAAAAATATGATTCTCAAAGTTAACGCTTGCAAATGTTGATGGAAACGACAAGTGGGATGGGATCTCTTTATTGTCTAGGCCCTCGGTGTCGACTCTGAGTTTTGCTTGCAAGTCCAAAAGCATCTGGTTTTGTTGCTGTGGTTTATGGTATAATACTTGTTTTTCAGGTGATGCAGGAGGTGGAACTGCATTGATCGATTGGTTGCACGTGTGCGTCCCTTTGTACGTGATCTCAAAAATAGTGGGATCATCATCAGACCTTTGCACTTGCTTTGCTGCCCAACAATTTTGAACGTGACGGTACGTGCATCTGTAATAGCTTCTGCAAACATATATAGATTTGTATTAGATTGAATCTACACGAACTTTTTATTAGATATGTAATAAATCCCTTGATATTTTTTAGTTGAAATTTTTCTTCAATGTTGGTATAAGACAACAAACCTGGGATATTTGGCTCCCAGAATGTCTTTCTGTCCATATTTTCTCCAACTATATCCATCATCCGTAGGTCCTTCAAATCCATTTTCAGAGGCAACACTCACTTGCTCTGTCCATGTGGGTAACATTTTTCTGCTAATACAAACCAATCAAGAAACATATTACTTAGGAGGAAAATGTCACCAAAAATTCCCCGAATTTGGTCAGGAAAACATTGCATATCTCGAATCGTGATCAACTTAAAAAGTAAATTTACCTCTTCTTTGACGTATCTCTGCGTTCTTGATGTTCCCTGAAATTCTTGTTCAATTCCTCACTGTGTGGACTTCCATCCACAGATATGGACGACTCTGGTGCACCGGATGTTGGTGCAGCTAATTGGAGTTGTCCTGTTGATCCACTCCACTTGAGAATCAATAGAGCTTTCTCGTAAGAAGACAATATCCTCTGAAGAATCAAGTCCTGAGCTTTGGAAGGAGAAGTCATGCACAAGTAAAACCGAAGCTGCTTAGCTTGCTCCATTCCCTGAGTGAGTTCATTAATCAGCATCTGGTGTTCCAACATCGAAGCGCTCTCCATTTCGTTTGCTCGTTCCACAAAAGATCGTTGCGTTTTTACGTAGTCGAATCTTCTCAAGGGTAGCTAAGATTGTGCCGGAAGAAGTTCGTTGTCTTGGAGGATATGTTAGTTCATTCCAATTGTGCAAAATGCTAAATCTGATCGAGGGTTCAAGAATTTTGTTTAAGATTTTCTTGAACTGCTACTTGAATATGGTGAAAAACTTGGCTATGGGTGATGCTGATTAAGTAGACAGTGAAGCATTTAAATATAAAGAAACCTTTTGGGATTGATCGTGGGAGGAAAGGGATGTGGAAAAAAAGGGTGGGGAGTTGAATTTGACCGAGAAACCGAGATTTTTTTAGTGCTTGAACCGGTCAATGGTCATAGGGGAAGTGAATAGTGAGGTGGTTCAAATGCTGACCAATTCAAACTCCCTCAAAGTACTGTTCCTCGGTCTCTCGTAGCATAAATTCAGGATTAAAATAAGATTTTTATTAGATTTTGATAAAAGTCAATAAAATTCGTGGTTGAAAAGTTGTTTATATTATAAAACATGTGGTTAAAATTAATTATCGACTACTTAAATTAAAATTTTGATTTTAATTTCTACCAAATAAGGATTGTAACTTATTAAGGTTGGCTAATTAAAATCAATCTTTAATATATTTTAATAAAAAATAATGGTTGAAAAGTTGTGAATTTCACAAAATGTATGGTCAAAATTAATTATTGACTTTGATTCTACAAAACATGGGCTAAATATAACTTAAAAGGACTCTCCAACCTGACTCGTCGTTCATTGAAACGATGTATCTTGAACATGAAGTAAAAGCATCGTATTATAAAGTGAGAATTAGATTTTAGGAAGCTCTTCATCTAAAATAAATTGTTACGAGTTCGACATATTTATTATATAAATTGATGTTCAACACATTTGTTACTTATAAGTCAAATTTATAGTGATGAAGCAAACACGCCCTAAGACTATAGCGTTTCTTGTGCATCTAGAAGGAGAGGAAGGTGCATGTGCTGACCAATTCAAATCTCCAAATCAGTCATATGATATATATTTATTGTTAATGATTAATGATTGAGTTTAGGAGATGAAAAATGAGAAGTCAAAAAGTTTTAACAAAGTAATCAGTAAATTTCAAATGCCGCGTCATTTGATTCTATTGGTTAGATTGAGTACTGCAAATTTGGACACTACCATTGGTCTGCCAATGATGTCATACTTTAATATTTGGATTACTCTTGGTGTACACGATGGGTTTCACATAACCCTCCAAGACACACACAATAGGTGGGCCCCCATGTGGGACCCACCTCATAAAATATTCAAACACCCCATCACCTATTGTGTGTGTGTTCTAGAGTGGTTTTGTGAAATCTCTCATGTACACCATGAATAATTCTTAATATTTTCTGTCTCAGCAAATGTTAGAATTATCCTCGCTTTGTATTTTCGTCTTGTTTTGATAAGATAAGACCAAGATTAAAAAATAGAGATACGTATAATATCCTTTCTATAGTGAAAGACGAGTAAGTGGATTTTGTTGGGACGTCGTTAGATTTCAGTGACTCATGCAATATAAAAGTGATTCGAATCGTTGAATCAACTAGGTAAAGTTAAAAGGCAAAGATAACCTCCTTTCGAAATGAATGAAGGAAGACGAGGATATTTGTGTCTATAAAATGGTGCAATTGCTTCACACGTTACTCCTGATTAGCTTATGAGTTCTTAGAGAGTTATTTCATTGTTAGCAGTTCGTAAACCCGAAACGATAGGTTTTACCCAATTTAGTGGATAAGATGGTCGGCAATATAAGTATGTTAGGGATTGTCTATATTAAGTGGAAATTAGGCAAGGTACCGTATTATTTATAAAAAAAAATTGATAAATCTGCTGTTAACGGAGTTCATTAATTGTATTGGATAGTGATATAGATACGACTCTTTTTCTTTTTCTATGTCCCTAAAAATAGCCGAAAAATAATGTATTTGCTACTACAAAAAAGCTACTTGTGCAAAAAAAAATTTGACAAAATTCAACTGTGTGAGAGTGTACTATAACCGGGGTGTACATATTTTTTAACTTTTAAAAATGTGGGGCTCCCCTGATGTGAGGGGCCGGTCAAGGTGTTTGTCACCCTGACCCGATACACCAAGCATGGTTCTTGCCACTAATGACACTAATATTTCTTAACAATTTTATCATATTCTAATGAGTCAAATAGTAATATCTTTACGAAATTCTTAACTTTGAAATTGGAGGTTTCCGACGTAGTTATTATTATTTATTGAAATTAGAGGTTTCCAACGTTGTTATTATTATTGTTTAAACTAAATTGTTGGAGGTGCGTCCTTAATTGAGCTTCATTTTTTAATTTTAATTACTAATCAAAGAAAGTCTCTAAGCCTTGATTCTCGTTGTAATTGTCACTATAGCACGTGTGTAACCCAACATTTAAGGGTTTTGCATGCTAGACTTCGTGTTCATCTTTCTCTGAGAACGAAGAACCCTTATCCAATTTGAATGTAAAATTTCTATAAAAAACTGTTTGTACACTTGGTTTTATCCATCAAAGAATGTCATAATATAGGCTACCTAAAGAATATTATAATGTCAAAATATTTGAAAGATGAAGGTACGTGCAAACTTTCATATAGAGATGTAAAAGTGGGTCAGATAAAGGAAAATCATTGTTGACATTCACGTATATATTGAGCCCATGATCGCGGCCAATGTAATTCACTCTACACCTATCTTCACGTCAAAATATGACATGAATTTGGCGCCTTATAGATTACGTTTTGCTTTATTGTATGTTTGCCTAGTCAATGTTATCAGGGGCCAATTTCTATTTATGAGCATGCTTTATGGGAGTATTTAAATTATAAAAATAAAAATCACTTTTTTCATAAATCTCATTTGCAAAAGTTCTTCTGAATATTTGATTTTATTATTTTTACGGGATCCACAACTTTTAACTATATGTTTCATCAGATTTTGTCAAAATCTATTAAAATTTGGGAACAATACACAAAACCTACATATAAGAATTACTTTTCAAAACTAACAAATTTGTCTAATTATTTCAAAAATTAGGCGATAAATAGATTTATTAAATATTAAATTATAATATAATATATATTAATTATTTACACCACATGACACCTCACCCACCCCCATCACTTCACTACACCACATTTCCTCCATTCCAGCACTGCTCCGGCGACGGTCCGACGACGGTTCCGACAATTACTCCGGTTGTAGCGACCGCGAACTTTTAAATTATATAAATTAATTTTCTCGGAAAACGTGTCGCTAAAATGTAACCCTAATTTTCTAGAGAAACGCGTTCGTCTAG